GCTCAATTTTGGGCTCTGTGATCTGCTGTTAATGAAGAATATTTTCAGGACGTTTGCATTAGAGGAGTAGCATTACACGCTACTGATTTTAGCTACACCCTGGCTATCCGATTCAAAAAAACAAGCCCAGACAAACCCAACCTTGTTTCCCAGATGCGTCCGTGAGATTGGCATTTTGTCAGCAGTGGCGGACCCCAGGCTGCAGCTGCACTGAGATTAAGGTTAGGCAGTGCCCACACGCCGTCGGCAAGCCATCAGCTCTCGTGGATGCAGACGCTTGAGCGTCACAGGGGTGGTGACATCTTACGACCAGGATCCATCTCTTTTGGTACTGGTAGTACCCGAAACAAACACTGATCGCTTGCATATTTGATGGGCGAAAACTCCTGAAGTCTTCTATTTCTTTTTGATACTGCAGTCAAAAAGTAATATGGATTTTGTTACATTCAACATCTGGTCCAAAAATGTGCATTTCCACTAAGGAAAACACAAACCAGAAAAGGCAAGCCAAAATAAACACACACAAAATGTTACTATTGTTTTTACATATTTTATCCAGATAGGTTTTTTAATATGTACAGAAACTGTATCTGATGTTATGCAGTTGGGTCTAGATACGGAACTTGAAAAAAATGAATTTCTTTTCATGCGTATTATTTTGTTTTATATCAGCCTTCGCAAGACTTTTTCTACTTAACTGGCAGTGGACAACCCTCAAATTGCATTCTCAGCCTATGATTTATATAGGTAGAAAAATACGTGGGAGAAGAAAGCTTTAGCATTTTATTTCACAATTCATTTGACAAAGCAGCAGTAGTTAGAAAATTTTACTTGGCAAGATGACACTGGGGTGGGAGTGGGCCCGTATGTGGAAAAGGGACCTAAGGAATGTTCCTACAATTAGTCTGAGGCAGCACAGACCTACGATGGGAATCTGCTTTGGAAGTAGATCTTGCTGTAAACCATTCGAGATTAGATATGAGGCACTGACATATGACAAATGGAACTGCTGAGAGAGGGGGTTGCACGAGCTAATGATTTTCAATCTTTAATCAGGCACCTAGCTTGGCATAGTGTATTAGGTTTGAGTAAATAAGTACCTTTAGGGCTCAGGGTCAAAGCTTTGATGGGAATTTTGCTGAGGAAAACTGTGCTAGAGGGACGTTTAGGATGAAAAATATTAAATTGCTCTTCATTGACAGCATTGAGCAAAAGGGGTCAGACCCCGGCACCTTCGCCGGGTCCAGTGGCACCTTACTGGCAAGTGGGAAGTTGCTCGAGATACCATGCAGACAGACATGCCTCTGGGAGAGCCGGGGCATGCTGGCTTGTTAGCAAAGAGGAACACTCTGCAGCATCTGGGTGGAAGGAGAAAAAAAAAAATAATCTTACTTAGAATCTGCTTAGTTTGGGCCTTGCATTCCCTGACCTCCAAGTTTTGGGCACAGTTTTGTACCCACAGCTGACTGTGGGCACACAAATTATAGCATTCAGGAATTTAACTACCTGATGATTGGGCCTGTGCTCAATGTTGTAACCCCAAGCATTCCACATCCATGAGAGAAGCCTCTAAAAAAAATAAAAAAACCTGCGAGGTTGGCTTCAGGATCATGAATTAATACTTTTTGAAACTTCTGCTTTTTTGAGCCTGCGTGGCTTGCATTTGCAAGCTCTTCCACCATCACAAACAGTGGGAACCTTTGAAAAAAATACAGCAGTGAAATCAGATTTCTGTACAGAAAAATGACTCATGAAACTGGACCTTCAGAGAGAGAACAACAAAAAAAGAAATCAAGACTTAGGATAAAGTTGCTGGAGATTGTGCTACAGAGGGTGTCGGGCAGTGCTGTATGTAAATGGCAGCATCTCAGCCAAAGGCAAACACACACAGGCAGACATATATATGCACACATCCATACATAAATATACATATACAAAGATATCTCCTAGGATGCCAGAACAGGTGATATCTTGTTTTTTCAGGAATAATGACACTTTCTATTGTATTAGGGAAGCACGTCCACCAGAGAGATGGAGGATTCTTGGAATAGTGTCCAGAGTCTCGAGCCCACACAAGGATAAGGATCCTCACAAGCCTCACCTCCTCCCACTTTCTGAGCAAGTTACTGACCTGGCCTTTCCAAACTAAAAAACAGGCATCACAAACACATGCAGAACCTGACAAAACATGTATTAAACCATAAACCTGGTCTTTACCAAGGTTTTATCACTTAGGGAGAAGAGGAGCACAAATCAAGTGTGGCAGATCCACTCCTTATGGTAATGCTTTTCTGAAAGTCCTTAGATATTAGCACTCCTTGGTGAAGTTGTAGAGAAGGTTGCCTCCATCCATTTTGTCACGGATTTTGCTGAAGTTCTCATGGATGAAACTGCATCTTGATCCGTTCTTGAGAGAGCTGTAGAAACAGGCTAGTTTAAAAAAAAATATTATATTAAATTGTTATATTAAAAATAGTTTAGCAGTATCAAGCAAAACTGATAAACACTTTTATACGTATCTACATGTACATTTAAATACCAATAGATTATTTGAATCCAGGTTGGTGGAACAGGATTGGAATCTTGTTTGTGAGTCTTTGAAAAATCACGTCCTTCTGCACACGCATGAAGCAGAGCCTGAGGAATCCCGAAAGGCCCTGATGTATTTCATAAGGCATTGCCCTGCTCATTGCCACTGAAACACTGCTGCTGCAGCAGTAGGTGGCAAGTTTTCTGGTTTCTTGCTTCTTCATAGGGAAGACAGGAAGGCGATACAGCTTGTTGGAGACCCGTGGCCTATCCAGTGTTCACAAAAAGTTGCTCATCACAGCCTTGATTCCTTTTTTTTTTTAGAGTAGTTGAGCTCTAGGAGCTTCTTCCCTAACCCAGTAAACCTTCCTGGAAATTATCTGTTCTGCCTCTCGAAGGCTAACTTGACCTTGACCTGGGAAAAGCTTGTGGTTTCATAAGGTCTAAGGTATTTTGGAATAGGATGCTCAGCTATCTTGTACTTGCTACTGTACATTGGCAAGGGAGAATCAAAACCAAATATCCTCTTTAATATTGAATCCCTAGAAATTTGGGAAAAGACAAAACATACAATTTAACTGAAACTCAAACAACTCAGGAGGGTGCCCTCTATTTGCAGGGACAACCAGATCTGCACAGCTTTTATTTAAAGGACGGTTTCTTAAGCAGTAAGCATTTTTTACTTCCCTTCTACTTCATTATGCCATTGTACTCAGATTTCGGCCCTTTCATCCTTTGCCCATTTCAGTCATGTTCTGGGATCTGCAACGAAACCACTACAGGAGATGGTCTGCAGCATCAGTAATGCTTTAAGACAAGCTTGGTAGCTCATATTTCTTTGTTAGCAACCCATTGCGAAGGGGGAAGATCAGTTTGCTTTGTTCTTAGGCCTTGATTTTCATAAGCTAATGATGGCTGCGGGTGTAATTGTGGTCGGGCTTAAGTGGTAGCATGAGGGCAGAAAAACAGAGCGGCGCATCTGTGGGGCCTATTTCCCCTCCACTGCGCACACGGAGCAGGAGCGCATCTGCTTGTTGTCCCCCCCAGGCCCATGCCCATGCCCAGGGAAGGAGGGATGTCCCAGCCGTGGTGGGGCTCGCCTGCAGCGGAGGCTGGAGGTCACGAGCAGAACATAAGCCCCAGCACCCACTGGTGTTTGGGTCCCTTCTAGGACCCACCCGACAATGGATTAATCTCCTCTAGATTAATCTCCTCTAGCAACAGCAATAATAAATAATCCCACTTCTCTCTGAGCAGGACCCTGCGGTGGATTCTATTTCCTCTAACAGAATCACAGAATCACAGAATAGTAGGGGTTGGAAGGGACCTCTGTGGGTCACCTAGTCCAAATCCCCTGCCGAAGCAGGGTCACCTACAGCAGGCTGCACAGGATCTTGTCCAGGTGGGTCTTGAATATCTCCAGAGAAGGAGACTCCACAACCTCCCTGGGCAGCCTGTTCCAGTGCTCCGTCACCCTCAGAGGGAAGAAGTTCTTCCTCGTGTTCAGACGGAACTTCCTGTGCCTCAGTTTGTGCCCATTGCCCCTTGTCCTGTCACTGGGCACCACTGAAAAGAGCTTGGCCCCATCCTCCTGACACCCACCCTTCAGATATTTGTAGGCATTTATAAGGTCCCCTCGCAGCCTTCTCTTCTTCAGGCTGAACAAGCCCAGTTCCCTCAACCTCTCCTCGTAGGGGAGATGTTCCAGTCCCCTCATCATCCTCGTAGCCCTCCGCTGGACTCTCTCCAGTAGCTCTTCATCTTTCTTGAACTGGGGAGCCCAGAACTACATTGCCCAGTTGTTGCTTTGGTGCAAAAAACGCAATTGCGGCTGAACGTTTGCTTGGTATTTGGGCTAGACACTGCAAGGAGTGCTGCTTCTGAAGGGGATGGTATGCTCTGGGGGTTCAGTAATTAACAGGTATGCTGGTATTACCACTGCGGGTATAGGCAAAATTTTTAATTATGCAGTGAACACGAATGCCTATCCAGCCACGCAGCATATATTGTTCTGTAATATTAAAGCTGGTGAAAATTTTTTAAACATTCTTTGAACATTACTTAAAGTAAATAAGGTTAAATATTCTGAATCTTAAAAGACTTTAAAAAAACCCTTTTTATTCTGTTTTCAGAATGACAATTGTTTGATTTTTTTTAAAGTCACTGAATTCCCATGAATTACTTTGTCTCTAAAGACATGTCTTCTGAAATGTGAATGAATCCTCTCCAATATTTGGAAAGAGAATGCAAATATTTTCTAATAAAATGACAAAACACTGTGTTTCTGAGCAGGCGCCATGTACAATAAAAGGTGTTATGAGCATTCGGCTGGGAGGTGAGAAGGTTTATAAGCATGCCTTTGAAAAATTTCAACTAGTAGTAAAGAATATTCATATGAACTAAACAGACTGAGATTTAGGCAAGCTTACCGTTTTCCTACAGTAACAATATGCAAATGTCTGTACACATAGGTTCTCGAAGAGAGGATGAAATTGGAGTGCAAATGTCACGGAGTTTCAGGTTCCTGTACAACTAAGACCTGCTGGACCACTCTTCCTAAATTCAGAGAGATTGGATATATTTTGAAAGAGAAATACAATGCTGCAGTGCAGGTGGAGGTGGTACGAGCCAGTAGACTGAGGCAGCCAACCTTCCTGAAGATCAAGCAGATTAAGAGTTATCAAAAACCCATGGAAACGGATTTAGTGTATATCGAAAAGTCACCCAACTACTGTGAGGAAGACGCTTCCACGGGGAGCGTCGGTACCCAGGGACGACTCTGCAACCGTACCTCTCCCAACGCGGACGGGTGCGACATGATGTGCTGTGGAAGAGGGTACAACACACACCAGTACACGAAGGTGTGGCAATGCAACTGCAAATTCCATTGGTGCTGCTTTGTGAAGTGCAACACGTGTAGCGAGCGGACAGAGGTGTTCACCTGCAAATAACGGCATCACGTGCAAACGAACAGAACAAATCACCACGACTGAAGAAAGTGGGAGTACAACAAATGATGACAGCATCATTTTGCACATCTAATCTTCCTTGGGAAAAAAAAAAACAAACCCCAAACCAACCAACGCCACAACAACCACACCCTCCCCACTACTTAAACTTCTAAGGATGGTGCATTTTGGCTGGCTGGCTGTTGTAACTGCTTTGGAAACAAGGGCAACAGGATTAAGGGGATGTTGACAACCACATGAAACTTTCTCGCCTTTTTTTTTTTTTTTTAAACTACAGTCTGGGTGTTGCAGAGTTCTCCTAGTAAGTGTTTTAAGTTATACATATCAGAGAAGCTGATTGCATTGCAGCTCCCATGAAATTTAAAAGAAAAGACACTTTCTCCTATTTTACAACAACAAAACCACCAAGCTCTGTGCAAATAAAGACTTTTTTTTTTTTTAAGGAAGTGAAATCTTCACTGACTAGAACACAGCAGTCTTGCTGCAAAAACCTAAATTTCTAAGAAATCAGGTAGAGAAAAACAACTGGTAGGGAGACAAAATCTGTGGCGGAAATACTCCACTATCAGTTTGGAAAAAATAAAGTTCACAGAAGTACATCAGCTGCCAGTGACACTGGAACTCTTTGAATGAACATTAAAAATAATTATTTATGTTTTTAATAGTATCAAAAAATTCTAAGCACTAACGGGTAGCTATGTCTTAATTCTGTACTAAATGTAAACTTCTCGGAACTCTGACTTTGTGATTTTTGTATTTGGTTCTCCCGAAGTTCTTCAATGCTACTGATCTGTTGTCACTCCACTATTAGAGAGTTCAATTACTGTAGGCCTTAAGCAATTACCAGAACTGAGCAAAAAGATCACGCAAAACTGTGGTTACAAATGCTTGATAAAGACTTTTCCTGCTTGCCTCCTGAATAAGAATGACTCTTTTTAGACTCAGGCTTAAGGTGTGGAGCACCTGCCCTCAGCTCCTTGTAGGGAGTTCTAGGATACAAAGACATGCTTCGACAAATATCAAAGGTTTTTGCTTTGCTGTCAAATGCACTGGCAGGATCTTCCAAGCATTGCATTTTGCCTCTAACAGTTGAAAGTTCATATTACCAATAGTTTTAAATAACTTTTACTCAGTATGAACTGAGAAGTTAATAAAAAGACGGTAGCTGAGCTCTAGGTTGCTGCAACCTGTGAGCTGTGGTGGCTTCACGAGCATAAGCAAGCTAAAATTTGGGTTAGTCTGTGTTGTCTTTATTCTAAGGTTGGCAGTAACATAATTCCTGGCAAACACATAAATGTTAAGAAAGAAGCTGACTTTTTACACTATCACTCACTTCTAATTCACACACCTCTTCCCTACAAGAGATTTAAAAAAAATCCTCAGATATTTTACTGCTGTAAAATCTAGTGTTTTTAACCCCAAGAGCCAGATACGTCCACTTGTAACACAGCACATTTCATCACATAACAGTTTGCTTGCAGCAAGGGTCCCTACCCGATTTTCGGAAAACTTGGATTAAAAATTTCCTAACGTCTGGATATCTGCAGTTCTAGCTTTTGTTTCATTTTATTACTTCTACTGAGGGGCTGCACGGCCATCAGCACTGCCCACCTGACATGGGAGCCCTTCCCACACCACGCAGCGCTCTTGGGGCAAGGGGTCGGTGGAGCTACCGCTCCGCCAGCTCCCACGTTGTCTATGTGAATGAGCCAGGATTACTTCCCTAATTTACGGACTTGTATTATCAAAAACCACTAATCACCTGGGGACCTTCGTTCAAACATTCATGAGCACCTGCCTTTCTGACCCCAAGCACTTACCCTCTGAAAATCAGACCCCTTTGATGAGTCTCCCGTGGAGCAACCCAAGACGGAAGAGCTCATTTTTTTTCACTGCTGCTGTTGGTTTCTAAATAGCGGCTAGAAATTCCAACTCAGCCCTGGTGCGAACGAGCAGAACTCCACAGAAGATAACAGGTGCCCCTAAAAATGCTAGAGTCACTCCATAGAATTTACAGTCCCTTTGATTGATGGATATTGTTGAATAATAGTGATATACTGTACTTTCACTACATTCTTGACAGGAAGCAAATAAAGCTCCCAAGCACAGGAATGCACAGTCTTATGGTACTAAATACTGTAAATATATTAGAATAGTATTTGTTAAGTACAATTGAGGAATCCAATTAAGTTATATTATTGTATATCGTTTAAATGTCTATAGAGTATTTTAAATTATTGTGAACTACACTGCGATAAAAAAGAAAAAAAGGTTATATATTATAACACCAACCACTCCGAAAAGTGGACCAAAACCACACTTTCTCTTTTTTTATTACATACCCCGATTTCAAATAGCTCTGTCAGCTATTGTAACACCACAGTAACAGTCCTACAATCGGATTAGCTGTCTAGAACAGAACGTTTCAGAGCATCCTATCAAAGCTTTGCTCATGTGGGGGTGCAGCATTCAGAAAGGTACTGTATGGCACAAAGCAGGGGCTGAGCACAAAAATACATGGGCTTTGAACTATGTCCCAAGAAAAAGCAGGTTTGGTCAGAAAAAACACCATTACCACTATTGTATCGAAACATCCCCCCAAAAGGGCAACATTTTAATGAAGGTGCCTATAAACAGAAGTGGGTTACATGCAACTTTCATTTTAAAAAATGTAGTTTGATGTCAAAGAACTGAGACAATAGAGGTTTGAACGCAACCAGCAACACAATGTGGTTTAACCATACCTTAGCCATGACAAAACTCAAAATACTGTATGTTATTAAAGAATTTAAGAGCAAAGATCAATTTGTTTACTATGTTAATGTTTTATGGCAAGCAGAAGACAAAAGATGAAATGTGTTTCCATTAAAACTTAATTTTTTCCCCTTGTAGTTTCCTTTCTTTTTGCTTGTTATTCATTCAGAAGAAAGAAAGAATGCAAAAAGGCCGTATGCAAAGGCCATTGCTGTACCTGCTTCTCTGGATGAGAAATGATAGGCAGATTCCAAGTCCAAAGCAGTTTTTGTGTTTTGTGAGAAACAGTAATGAATGTGCCTGTGTTTGGTATCAAAGTCCAAAGTCATCTACACCAGTGGTACAGAGAAACAAGCACCAACCTTGCTACTACCAGAGACTTCAGTTGGCTCAAATAAGAAGGCGGTAAATGTTTTGTGATAGAAATGTGGCGTCAGACTCCAAAATGCTTGGTAAGCATGAACCCCATGTAACAGATTAGCAAACAGAGAGGAATAAGAAGCATAGAAGGGAGGCTTGAAGGCCCCGACTTCAGCACTTGCACATGCTCTGCCTTACTCAAGTAAGTCACGGACACATCTGAAAACCTACCCAAATCTGGACCTAAAAGATTTTACAGCATTTGCCTCCGTCAGAATAATAGTAACCTCCTTGATATTGAGAATAGTGTCTTCGTATAGAAAATCTAAAGAAAATGTACAGCCTTTGTTGTATTTGCCCCTCGGGGAAGATATCCAGCTATAGATAAAGGTATAGCCAAATTCCACATGAACTAAGTCCAAAATAACTTCATTAAAATGAATTGAGTTGCCCTGGGTTTATAGCACTATAAGTATGTACAGAATTTTACCCATGGATGCCAAAGAAAACACTGCACCCTCTTTCTAATTACATCATGAGAAACTTGTTAATAGAGCTGCAGGCAGTTTTTACGGCAAATGGTTATATCACATTTGTTTCTACACTGATATCTGGAAAGCAGATGAAACTCATCAAAAGGTTTGCAAAACTTTTAACAAATCTAAAGCATGCTACAAGTAGGTCACTTAAAATTTCAAACTTTTTTCCACGGATTCCTTTCTTAGTTTAAGGTTAAAACCCAAAAGTGTTACTGTACGTAAAAAATCAAGACCTTCTCTATTCTAGCTTTCCCATGCGAACAACTAGATCTGCATTTTGCTATGGAAGGCACTATTGGTGTTCAACAGCAAACGCTTTCCATAAAGCTAGAGATAATTTGCATTCATAGCAATTGTCATAACTGGACAGAATGACTGCAGGTTTCCTTTCCAGTCCTTCAGACCTTTTGTCGCAACGACGGTTCCCACAGCGAAGGCGGTACAGTAAGTTGTGCAGCAGAGACCCAACATTCTTCTCTCCAAGTGATGGCCGTGAGATGTGGGATACACACAACTACCACTACGTCCAAGGGAAAAAAAACCCCACCAAAGTTGGAAAGGCAGGGGAAGCTGTAAGCAATTTCCATTTGTGATGCTGATATTGTAAGAAACCTCCTGCATGCAAAACAAGCTGCACTGCAGGCTGGACTTCACCCACATTTTTCCCTCGTATCCAAAGTCCCTGTTTGCATCTTTGCAAATGCAGACTGTTTCACTGGAGAACAAGCACACCCAAAGGCTGGCAAGTATTTTCATCTCGGTGTTTTAGCTGCTATTAGGAAGATGTAGGGGACCCTTTTCTGACAGGGAAGGCGCAGTTGGAAATTTAAAATTTGCATCTCATTTTTTAAATGAAGATCTAGGGTTTCTTTCCCCGCACGCTCCTGCAGTACGGATAAATCTGCTGTAAAAGATTTTTTTTGGTGAAGAATAAAGCTGGCGGTTTTCACATAATACATGGTTGTTTGCTCTAATGTGTTCCACAGAGTGCTGAGGCAGAGAGAACAATCCTGCTGTAAATTCAAAATCTTTAGTCATGCCGTTTTTACTGAAAGCAAGACACTAAATATTACCTGTTTGGAGACTCCAGTGTGATTCTACTTTATAGGATGGTCCTTTCCATAACTTGGTACTATGAAAGGCCCCCAAAAATGGGAATACTAAAGTTTACTTTGGTTCTCAGTCCTCTTATTCTTCCTGTAAACAGACTATAAGATCAATAAAGAATCAGTTTAGGGACATTTAAATTTATGCATAGATATTAAAACTGATTAAGCTACTTGTTTCACAGGCGATCCCAAACAAATGGCACCACACCAGGCACTGGAAACGTCTGCATCGAAAGCCAGATGTATGATTAGCCTCTGCCTTCATTTGCCCATCAATTTAGGGGAAAACCAGCACTGCAGATCCCATACAGCTAAAAGGAATTCCCAAGGAGATTACAAGATTTTGATCTTATTGTTTAATTCCTGTGGCTGAGAATGAAAAGGAGCATTCCCTCAATCTTTGGGTAAAGGGAAACCCAAAGGCATTTTGATGACTATTCACACCACTCAACTTAAAAGACTAAAAGACAG